GAGGGCAGCACCACCACAAACCTCTACCATGTAACTCACTTTACACCTACCGTTGAGAAATCCCACTGGCATTCAGCAGGTTAGCCTGGATCTGTGGAACAGATTCTGTTAAGCTTCCCATGTTCGACAGTATCTTGTTTTAGGACTCAGTTAATTGAACAAAAGAGATTAGGGTAAGAACACTAAATCTGCTAGATCAAGTTGAAAATTACAGCAAATGCAAAGATGGCAAAATTATGGAATGGACCCAGTCAGCTCCTCCTCCCCATCAACTACTAAAACAGACAAATATTTTGGAGCTGCAAAACAAAGCTTGGGAAAAAAAAATATTTCAAGCGTCTTTTAACGCCCGGCTCCAGGGAGTAGAGACAAATCTCACTTTAAGCTAGGGCAATTACATTTCTTTATGATATTTTGGGTTCCTCCAAGCATTAAGCAAAAAAGAAAATTCAAAGATGCCCAAGGATGAAATGGAGGGCAGGGTGGAAGAAAAAAGTTCCCAGCAGGGATCCATAAATCTATACATGATACAATGCCAGGAGCATGGCAGGTCAGTAACTCTGCACAACTGTGAAAACAGCCACTCATTATCAAGCATGTGCAGCTCCTTTTGAACCTTCTATTCCCTATTTCCCAGCTTCTTCTCTATCTTTAGCCCTCCTTTTTCACTCCAGTGTTCAGCTCAAAATATCCTTGTAGCTGACAAGATGCGACCAGCCTAAAATCTCCTGGAATGCTATGGCAAAACCTGCCCAAAAATCTGCCCCCCCCCTCCCCCTGCCCTGCAACTTCCCTTGCTTCAGGGAGGAGAGGCTGCTGAGGCCTCCTCAGCAGCCTACCACAGTAGCCATTTATTCCCAATCAGCAAAAAGCTATTGGAAATACATGCTTCCTAATACCATAACGTGTACCTTAGCTTGTTGTGAGGAATCTCCTCCACTGCGTCCAGTCTTTCCTGGTTTCCTGGACTCTGCACCAAACAACTTGGGCAGTCAATCATATAGCAGAATTATAAAAAAGCAAAATAACCGCTAACCTTGTGTCAGACATGGAGAATGCTATTAAAAAGTGGAGCGAGCAACAGATCAGGCAAGTATCAGACAATGACATTTCTTTGTAAACACAAACCAGAAGTGTCATCTACTTTCCAGACCTTGCATGGGCTTGGGTATTTGCTGAAGGCCAAGGGCCTCCGTGCCTCAGAGCTGTGCTCTCGCGCGCTGCGAGATCTGGCAGCGCTCTGCTCCCACCAGCAGGGCTCGGACTTTCCCTGCAGGTAGGAAGATGGCTCTTCCATACCTCCCTGCTGTGCATGTTCCACCGCATTCAAGGGCTCCCTGCAGACATTAACTAGAGCCTGGCTGTGTATTTATTTCCACACAGAATCTCCTCCTGTGGTAAGGGTATCTACGGGCCTCCTGCTGCCACACAAGATGGCCTCCTCTCTGGGCTTCCTGCTGCTGCACAGGGATACGTGTTGTTTCACAGTTTATGATGCTACCTAAGCCCTTCCTTCTTTTTATGCTACCTAAGCCTCCAAGTTTAGGAATGGGACGGCTTCTTAACAGCACGGCTCTGTAAAAAACACTCCGATCTCCCCACAGCCCCGCTGAGGGTGGAGCTCTCCAGCAGCAGCCAGGCGGATTCATGGCAGAACTCAGCCCC